TGCAGGGGTTTCATGGTACTCGAAGAATCTCTCTGCTCTGAAAATCCAAGGAATGGGATCTCCACCGGAATAGTTGGGAAAATTGATTTTAGTGACCTTTCCGGCGGGGTAATTCCTAGTTCCTTGGCTACCGGAAGCAGAGGCGTCAGCCCCTGTTGGATGACTGATCTCATCGGACTGTTGTTGAGAGGCGAGGTTAGAGATGACCACCTTGAGATCCCTGAGTTCGTTCAGTACCTAGTGGAACCCAATCTCAAGTTGGTCGACTCTATCTTCCATGGTAGAGGATCTTGTCTGCAGCATAGCTGGTCTGTGACTTGGCTCTGATACCAACTTGGTGAGTTTCCGCTCACCTCGGAAGCCTCTTCGAGGGGGGCTTGACTTCCTGAAACAGAAGATGGAGAGAAAAGAGAGGGGAAGGAAGGAATAAAATGGACTCAGGGAGAAGAAAAATTAAGGAGAATCATTCATTGCTTTCATTATATGATGATGACCTTATATAACTGGCCTATAGGTGTAATATCAGACTTCTGGGTAATTAACTCTGGCAGATAACATGGATAGAATATCCTCTGGCGGCAGAGTAACCAACTCTGAGTATAACTAATTCTGGGGCTCTATCGCCTGTCTTCTTTGTCTCCTTGTGAATGGCTGATAGGTGGTGGCCTGCTCCACTCCCCTAGTGGGTTCTGGAAGGAGTGTTTGGGTCTCAACACTTTTGCTAACGGATACTTGCAGAATGTCAGGCTGCAAGTATATGGTTAAAAGCTTTGGGAAAATTCAAACACGAAGTTTCTATTATCAGGATACGAAGGTCGGTTACCAATTACCATTAAAATTACCTTCCCATGATATATTTGTAATATTATCATAATGTTCAGACGAGTCAATTTAGCACATAAGTAGGTTTATTGTCAAATTACAGGCGTGGCCCTCAATTATGATCAGATCTTATCAGGCCAGACCCAATGGTGCTGATTATAGACCCATTAGGATCTTGTTTGGAACTGGTTCTGCACATTTGCCTATTGGGTCGGGTCCGGGTTTAGCCAGACCAGACCTGGCCCATTGACAGCTCTAACTTATTCGGGTTGGCTGGCAGACTCACGGTAGGTAAGCCTTAAGTTGAAAAGCTCGTGTGAACTTGTTAAGATTTATCAGACTCAGGCTGCTAGCCAAGCCCATTAGCAATCAGCTAGTTTAAACCGCGATTGAGACCGAAGTCTGTCGTCTTTGGTTCATTCCCTATTCCCTAAGCCACTTGGTAAATTAATCACGGCAATTTTCTCTGATGCCGAAGGGTATGATACCGGAAGAATTTTGACCAATCAGAAATATTTAGGGAAAAAGTGGCACCCTCATAACAAGAAGTTGAGTACGGTTAAATCATCTTTCTACGGCAAAGGCCCACCGATTGCATAAGCCCCGGCAATTGCATTAAGGTCCAGGAACCCCTCAGTAGCTTGTTCGGATCTGCCACAACTAACACCAGAAGATGCATTAGTTGCAGCAAATGGGCACAGAAAAGACCATCTTGAGTGGATGGTTTTCAGATCCATGTAATGTGCATACAAGAGACCACCTGAAACTGAAAGTACTGATCCAAGCATGCAAGAGACCAAATAATTTTTCAATGCACGAAAATAGGACCATCTTTCGAACCAGAAGTAACAGAAAGCAACACAACTAGTAATGTAAATAACTAGTGTCTCCATTATACATCTGTAAAAAGGCTTATAGTGACAATTAATATATCCCATCAGAAATTGTTCTTTTTATAGAAGAAATCTGTAGTATAAGATGCCTCACTCTCACTTGATCTCTCCCTCTTTTTTTTTTTTTCTTTCATCGTCCCAAAGTTTACTTTTTTTTCACTCACCCCAAAGTCGTGAACAATCAAATTTAAGAAATGCTCACACAATTAAAATGCTGCCCACCCTGCTGCAGTGCTGCTCTTTGTTGGGCCAGATGATGTTGTGGATGGTAGGCTTTTCTGTGAACCCAAGAAATCAAATATATAAAAAGCATAAGACAAGCTCCTTAAACATTATCCCAACATGGTATTAAAGAGGATATAAGAACATTTTCCTCTGAAAAATACATCCAAGGCAAAAAAATGCTCAGGAAAAGAAGCACCAATTTTATTGATCAAATTAAAGTGCACTACCTGTCTCTCAATCTTCAAAGTACAATACTTTTGTCATTTTCTTACTTCAAAATAATGGCCACACATCATCTATTCAAACTGACAATTAAACATCACTATCTGAAACAAATTACAACCAATGACCAGAAAGAATATCCTACAAACCAAAGAATCAAAATCATCCATCCTCAGTGTAATCATGACTGATGCATTAAGGGGCATACTAGGCCACATGTAAAACTGGAAAGACTGAAGCACATTGATGTCTCTCAAAAGTGAATCCATTAGCAAATGACAAGTAATGTGTACTTTGAAATGAAGAGTTCTAGCACTTCCTCCAATATTAATTAATCTCAATACTAGAAATCACTGACAAGGCTGAAATGGATTTCAAAAATGACCAAAAAACAAGTTCAGCAACCATGCCCTTGGTGCAAACCAGGCGAAACCTAATGTGATCCTATAGCCATTTATGTCTTTAGTGCTGCCTGTGTGTGGGGTGGACCTTGAGACTGTGTTGTACTATGCTTTTTACAGCTTATTAGAATTACCTTAACTTTTTTCAAAAAAAAAAAAACTCTAATCAAGAAGTCCACAAAAAATATTGATAAAAAAAAAAGAAGTCCACAATTCTCCAAAATCACAATCTAGATCTGAGACTTTCATCGTTTGGTGAAACAAAATTGTGACTGCTTGCTGCCAGCAATATTAAGACTCTGTAACATGTCGAATTATATATGTATGTATGGTAATCTCCAAGTTCTCAAGCACAAGACATGAACTTTGTTATGAATGTAGATAAAATTAAATATAGCAGAAAAGTTAAAAAAAAATGTGTAACCTTTGAAGCTTTCATACATTAGTTTTAGCATCCAAGATGAGGACAAAAAGCTTAATTCCTAATTTGAATGTATTGGTAACATATTATGCTAGATCAGCAAGTGGCAAGAGAAACACAATCAAAACCCCCCAAAAAAGCCACATACTTTCTTACCACCACAGCAAGACTTTGGATGTATTTTTGTTCATAAATTCCATTCTCCCCTCTATTGGTAGATTGTAACACTTTTTGATGAACAACAAACTTTATTAATATAATGAAAGAATGGTTATTTACAAACTGCTAAAGCATCCCATAAACACCTAGACTGGCAACAGCCACCCAGACCCAAAGAAACAAAATTTTACATTATTCTAAATCAAGGGGGACCCAAAATAATTGTTCCCTGCTTATTCCTTGCTTTGCTAAAGTATCAACCAGGCCATTGTCTTATCTACACACCCAAGAAAAATTGATATTTATCTGCTTTGCCAGTCTATTTCCCTTGGGCTATGTTTGGGTTGGTAGAAAATAAGATAGAAATAAAAAGTTATGAGAAAGTTCTCACTGAACTTCACAAAATATCCTTAAAAACTTTCCCTCAACTTTCTATTTCTCTCTTATTTTCTATCAGACCAAACACAGCCTTGAGACTTGTCAGTATTGCCAGTGATGCGACACTTCAGTTATCAAACCAAGGAAATCATGTGATGATGCATGTAAATGTTCAGTACACATAAAATGCACAACCCAAACAAGAACAAAGATGGATAAGTAGAGGCATACCTCAACTTGAGAAAGATTTGACAAAGGATCAGTAGTGTGCCTTGCACTTTCCTTGGAACCCTGGAGACCAATACCCTGACCTCCAGAGGTCATCCGAGCTGTAGCAGGGTCATTCGGCGGGGGTGGAAGAGGGGATCTGATTTTTCCATACCCACTAGGAGGTGGAGCAAGGCCCAAAGTTTTAGCCTTCCCAGCACCTGAAGCAGCACCAGACAAACCAGCAGCTGAAAGCATGCCAGTTCCACTAGTTGGTTTGTTCTTCACATTTATTCGGATGGTCTCACCTTCCTAGGATCCAAACACAAAATCAGTTCTTCAAAAAGAAGCATATTAAGTCTAAAAAAATAAATGAACCATATTGAACAAAATCTTCCTTAACTGATAAGTAGCAAACACAAAAAATAAGTGGAAATTGAACTGTAGCTAACATTGAAATCTTAATTGTACAAGGAAAACATACCCCTTTTGACAATCCAAGTAGCACATAAAGGTTACATGTAAATAATTAACATCAACAGACATTTTACGCTTCAAAAGACAAAGAGCAATTTATTTCAGCACTAAGTAGTGGCAACAGACCACACCAACTAGTGGGATCAGCAGCATAACTTCATGATCATTCAGCCCTCCTCTTGTCCTTCAAGACTCTCTACTTGCAACAATTTATTCCTCACTTAGGCACCCATTTATCTTCATTTAAGATTGACAGACCATCTCGATCAAGCTTCCCTGGTCTTATCATAGTTGATGCAACTTCTAAGCAATGGAATCAGTTATGGAGTTTGCAGACCTTTGGATTCATCTAAAAAGGTTTAAGCTTGAAGCCACAGGCCATGTCTCCCTTAAAGGGTGAGAGACATCTCTTCCTTCATCCAACTTATGACCACATGCAAGTATTCAACCTCTAAGTTGCTACGGCCCATAGTTTTCAAGGCACCAAGGCAGAAGATTGGTGCCCAGGAAGCACCTAGATGCCTAGGCACCCACATAGGCTTTGAGTTTTGCAAGGGGAAAACCCTGAATCCTAAGTTGATTTCTTATTTTGCAATAGTAACCAACAATCATTTGTGCTGACAACTAGCAATAACACATCAAATAACTATAAATTTCATGTCAAAACATAGAAAATTATCATAGTCATTGAGAAGATAGGCATTAAATATATTAATTTCAATATAAAATTCACATAATTATTCAATTTATCGTGTTTATGTTGAGCATGTTGTAAAGTGCTAATGTTATCGCCTATGTGTGAACCTGATAGCAGAGCTATACCTTTTCTGAAATACTTGAGGCTATGCTTTTTTTTGTGAGAGAGAGAGAGAGAAAGAGAAGGTAAAGTATATAATGTTTTTTGATAATAAAATAAATTTTACTAAAATAAAAAGGAAGAAATACAAGGAAGGTGACCGGAAGTCACCTGAGAGAGAAAAAGAAGACAAAAGATCTCCGAACCCACCTACTTATCATCAAAGCCCAACCCAACAAAACAATAGATAGATACCAGGTACCATAACTCCCCAACCAACAAACAATGACACCAAAACAATAGCAACCCCACAATCCAACCTGACAACTACAAGACTCAAGGAAAACCAAACTACCCAAATAGAAACGAAGACAAAGCTAGAACAGGTATCTCCCATCTAGCATCATGCATCCCTCTAATTCTTCCTTTGGATTTTCCTGTACTTCATCACCTTCTTCTTTGGACCAATCCCAAATAACCCTCCTTTTAATCTAGCAAAGACATTTGACACCAAAACAGGTTGATGCCTTTTTTGACTTTCCAATCTTCTGATTGTGAGATTATCCCTCCTTATCTCCAACATATCCTTGGTCTCCCTGTTAATCCTTTCTAATTCCAACACTGAATTCTTCTCAAAAAGCTAATCTGCCTCCAGAGCTTCACCATCATCATTGTTTAACCTTGAAATATTTTCTTCAGGGACAATATCATTCTCCCTCCGAGGCATTGGGTATCTCTCTTCCAATTCTTCAAATTTCTTCCCAGCATAATCCTCTCCACCTAAGGTAAGTAATCCCAAAGCTTTGCTAACTTTAACTTCTACATGAGAAATACAAAAAAGCTCCCCAAAACATCACTATAGGTGACCCAGGCTTTTTTTTTTTTTTTGATCAATAACACTTTCATTAAATCATCAGTAGAAAATTTACAGGAGGAAGACAAACACACTTATCTTCCAAGAGCCACAAAGAGCCTCAT